AAATTGTTGAGTGGCATATAACGTAATGAAACATAAATACTTCGTCATTATGTCGAAAAAAGTGATAATAGAAGGTGAAAGAATATGTGTGAAGCGGAATTTACAGCCGGTTTTCGTAGAAGTTTTTCAATTAATTTGTTCCATGCACTCATATATCTAATGCTACAGGCTCGTGTCCTAATTCAGTCATGTTGTCATTAGGTATTCGGTCTTAAAATATAAGTTTTAGGACTATTTGGGATTTCATTCACAATACTGTAAATTATTTTTAAATTTTCACATCATATGCTCGGGAAAGAAACTGCTTCTTGATTTTAATGAAATTTGTTGGTTTTTGATTTTCTGTTATTTAGTTTAAGACCACAGAGTTGTAATAATGCAAGATGTGTGGCACTAAAAATAATGGTGAAACTAAAAATAATGGTGAAAATACTGATTCCAGAATGTGAATGTATAATCACACAAAAGTTTCATTCGTAACAACTTTGCTTGACATTCACTCAAGTTCCCCCAGATGCAACCAATGAAGTCATACCTGGAGTGGATAGATATAGAACGCACATATAAGGAACAATACTCCCATTGAAAAAACATGGTAATTACGAAATCTCACATTCACGTTGCATTCTTGTCTAAATTTCATCCAGTCATCAATCATCTCCGCAATTCTTGCGATAATATATACCCAAGTGATGACATTTATTAATATTAATATTATTATTATTATTATTATTATTATTATTATTATTATTATTATTATTATTATTATTATTATTATTATTTTATTATCAGTATATTATTATTATTATTATTATTATTATTATTATTATTATTATTATTATTATTATTATTATTATATTATCAGTATATTATATTTATTATTATTATTTTTATTAGTAGTAGTAGTAGTAGTAGTAGTAGTTGTTGTTGTTGTTGATGATGCTGATGATGTTGTTGATTTTGTAGCAGCAGTATTCCACTACACAATTCCTTTGACATCTTGCCTTTGGAACCTCCATTCTTAAATCTTTTAGACGGGATCGTCTTTTTTTCATCACGCTGTGTTTCGATTCTTTGTTCACAACCTGCAATTAAGTCGAAGCATCTTGCTTCTCTATATGATATACACAATAACCCGCTCAATTATTGCTGACACAAGTTTTTAAATGTTTATATCTTCTAGTGAAATCCACCTATTGATTCCAACTTAGATTCAGTGTTTAATATATTAGCTGTTTATTCTTTGACGAAGAGCTTGTTTAGCTCGAACCCTTTGGAATAAACAAGCTCTTCGTCAGGCGAACAAACAGCTTAAATGTAGTTATTTGAAAAATGTAATTAGCGGCCATGATCACTAACTTAACACTACAAATTTGTTTGGGTGCAATCAATATCTGTCCATTTGGCATTATAATTCCTTTCTGTACATGTCACAATAATCTTGACAATTGTAACGATTGCCGTCCAGATACATTGGCCAGGAATTAATAGGTACTGTATGATGTACTCCTTTTTTCAATGCGACATTTTGGTTATAGTTTACAAAGTTATGTTCTTAAGTTGAGTGAAAGTTTTGAAGCACAATGATCCAACGAAGAAATTAAATTTGTCTCGATTAAAAAATGGAGATATATTTGAAAATTGTATTATTCACGTAATTAATAGCACCAGCGTTAAATATTACTAACTACAAGGTTTATGTAATATAATGTGCTCGATAAAGTTTGCAGTGAGTTGTTTTGAGGTTTGAGAGGTCAATCATTTAGTTCAACCAAAACCAGCTCACTGTGAAGTAGCATTAAGATCTCGTTTATTGAGTTATTACTATAGTTATTTCAATATTATTACATTAATTATTACTATACTTATATCCATAGTCATACCTTGATATTTTTAACAAATTCTTAAATAAGTCCAAAACGATAACTCCGAAATATGTAACTAAGACGTATATGCAATATCTCATGAAATAAGAATGAAATATATAGTGGAAAAAATTACATTTTCATTAAACTTCCATCTCAGATGAATGAAAAATTCGTGAATTAAAAAAATCCAGAGATTCTCTTTGAGGCATTTTGAATATTTTATTTTACCACAGACACATGATGAGAAAGGAAAGCAGCATGAAAAGGAGCATTATGTTTGTATTGTGATGATAAAGCATTATGTTATAGTTTCTCATGTAGATCATGGATGCTATGTATTTTAATTGTCTACTAAAAACATAATTTTATTCAAAGCGACCAGCTGTAAAACAAGTTTTATTTATTCTTATGTACTGATGTATGTCTGTTTCAGTTGTGCATTTGGGGATTATTTTTCAAAATACAAGTATCAGTAAATTACAGTGTTCACTGGTACAATATATTTGGCAATATAACTTGGATAATTCGTTGATAACAAAAGAACATCATTATTTAAACCTTTGAGTTTTCAAACCATTATTTCAAAGGTGTTGTTTTTTTCGCCTTTAAACTTGTCCTCTCCTCTCTTGTTAACGTTCATCGATCCTTATTACGTAAAACTTGAAATGTATATAATACCTTGATTTAATTATGATTAAAATCATGATTGCTGACTAAATAAATAACTTTTCTAAACCTTGCTTAGAAATATACGGCTTGAAGCAACGCCGCTAGCATAACGCATTCATCGTGCACGAGAACGTTAAATGATTAAACAAATGTTCCTATAAACGAAGTTTTATCCAAACGATCACATCAATTTGTTCACGCATCTAATTTGGTATCTTGTGTTAATCTTAAGTGAGAAATTGTGTGATTATGAAGTGATCGGGAAGTGTTAGACTTTATAAGATTTATTGACATATTTCACCATCAGGCAGTAGCGATCATAGATTGACACGTTAGGTGAAAATACTGTATCACAGATTTATTACGTGACCCCTTTGTGCCAAATTATCTGGTCAAATCAGCCGAGAGGTTACCTAGATATGAAATTGTCGGGTATCACATTTTTGGGTTTCTGTAAATATTGCATGACATATGAGAATGTAACGAAGGGTAAATTTAGTATCCCAGGCAATCAAAGTGATCGAAGGTAATAGAGCATATTGCAATTATAATTAGTATAATGACATTAATTGAATATTTCTCTATGATAATCAAATACACGAGATATGGGCATCGCCCATTTATCTTGGTTCTGGATATTGAAGTCTTATCAGGGGCTAAGATGGTTTACCGATTACAAAATGTAAACCTGTTAATATATGATCTAACTTATCGACAATTTTACTCAGGTGTTATGAACATGAATACGTGAAATAACGCGTTTAACTTGGATAACTGTATTTGCTAATGTCATGGATCAGTTTAATGCTTACACATGATCTGAAGTGTTAAATACGATTTATATACTGTTTCTATTAAATATTGCTTTTCCCCGTGACTTTGTTGTTAATGCGCCCTTAACTTTAGATATCGCAAAGAACAAAAGATTATTGGCATGAAAAGTCTGAACGTTTTACGATACGAGAATGCTTAACTGTATTAAGAAGAAGATTATCTTGCATTGTATAGTCTGACAAAATCATGTCTAAACAGCTTTTAAATCATTAATCACATTGCCTGAACTATATGGATATATGTGTCTAATGTCGCCAGAGGTACTACCCACGACAACCCTCCGCTGGATCCTGGAGCCATGGCGATATGAAGCAGAACTCTTGAGAAAGAGTTCAAGGAATGTAGCCAGTCGTGGAACACCATTACTTTTAGGGCTGTGGAATTTCAGCAGTGACACTCGTTGTGATAGTGAATGTGATACAATTGTCATCTTACCTAAACCAAGATGATTAGTTAAAAAATAATATGGCGTTGATAAAATTTAATGCTATGGACGTTGAAGATTTTATTGTTCCAATTGGTGGGGAAAATAAAAAGGTTTCACTGTTAAAAAGAGTAAACATTCATCAATGCTATTGTTTACATGCTACATCAAACAAAAACAAAACAAAAAAAAACGCGGCCTGTGCAAAGCAGAACAACAAAGAAAGCCTCTGCAAAGAAAGATAAACAACGAATTTATTTCAATTGTTTTCGCAACCTTTTAATATGAAATAGCCACTTGTTCATAAAAATAACTAACTCACCCCGACCGTGATGATGATTGTAACATCATTACGTCGTCTGTAGAAAAAAAAAACAATCTCCAGCAATTTTTTCATCGATAGAGATGGGAAATTAATACAATTTTGAGTTATAGACAGCTTAAAATGTATGAATTCGTCACTATAAATATCAGAAAATAACGTACCTCATCACAATTTCTATGAAATATTAAAATAATATCGATGGTAGAACTGACAGAAATAAGATGAAAGTTGCGTATCCTTTTGAGACTGTTGGTAAATTTGAGGAAACCAGATTTTAGATAAATGATGGGTAGTAATGACAACTGAATGTCAAGAAAACAATTTCGGAAAAAGACTCAAAATGTGCATGGTGTCATTAAACACTTCAGATTTAAAACGTTAAGTGTCAATCGTGTATCGTCTCTAAATGAGTATCATATATACTCTAAATTTCAATCGTGTATCGCCTGCAAATGAGTATCATATATATATATATATATATATATATATATATATATATATATATATATATATATATATTCTTTAAATATCAATCGTGTATCGTCTCTAAATGTCAATCGTGTATCATCTCTAAATGAAAAATCGTAACTTCTCTATATGACAATCGTATATCATTTGTATCATGTCTAAATGGGAATTGTGTGTTATTTTGATTTTTAACGTTGTTTTAAAAATTTGTCAATCATATCGCTGCGATGTCGGCAGTGTGGCAGTTTATAGTGATGTCTAGCACTGGGGTATAAATGCCGCAGATATGTAGTATGATGTCCCATCCAGTCACAATTATACTGACACCAGGCCGACCAGTTCTAACACCAACCTCTTAATGCTGAGCGCCAAGTGAGGAAGATGTTAGTACCATTTTTGTAAGTCTTTGGTATGACTCGACCGGAGATCGAACCCTCGACCTCCCGCATCTGAGGAGGACGCTTTAACCACTAGGCCACAGGAGCTGTGCTCCAAATGTGAATCGTACATCGTCTCTAAAAGAAAATCGTGTATCGTCCCTAAGTGGGAATCGTGTAGAGTCTCTAAATGAGCATTGTGCAGAATCGTATATCGTCTCAATATGAGAATCGTGTATGGCTGTATGTTTCTTAAAGATAATTATGTAGGGTCTACAAAGCAGTGAAGTGGAAAACTAAATGGCTTAGAAAATAACAATAAGCAAAACATTGTTTAAGCAAATAATCAAGAAAAAACTAAAGTTAATCAGACAAATGCATACTTACTTTTCATGAAATGAAAATCAACATTGTGATACTTTGGCATATAAATTAACGCTCACCTACTCTGGATTCAACAATTTTCTTAACGAATAGCAACTCATCTAAGAAAATAATTTGTCTTGAGAAAAATATCTAAAACGCCTTTAAATCATCTTTCAGACAGAAATACCAAATTAATTTTTAAAACTTAAACTAATAAATTGATGAGAAAAAGGTGTATTCCTTCTAATTAATTTGCATTTTTAAATGAATTGATAAACTTAATCTGGATAGCTCAAGCTGTATCCTGAGTAATAAAAACCTCTGAATGATTCAAATAACGTGTTTGTTTTCATAATACGTTAGTTGTTATTGCACAATTTTACACATTTGTACTAGTTTTGTCTTTAAAAACAGAATGCTCACATTGTGAAAAAATGTTAATTGAAACTGTTTTTGTCAATCTTCAAATGGTCCTAAAAACTATTTTGAACAGTAAAGTTTTTATTTATAAACCGTGTGAATTAAATCGTAGCAGTTTCATCCTGTTGTGGTCCAAGAACGCCCATCTAGGTCAGATCGAGTGTTATTAGTGTTATTCAATAAGCCCATCGTTTTATCTTTACAAAATGAATAATGCATCTATTCGGTATTAATAAGTTGAATTATCTTTAAATTTATGGATGGCATAGAAAACACATCCCTCAAATATATTTAAACATAATACGGTTTTATATTTAACGAGACGCATCACACGTTTCTTAAAGTTTATCATAAGATTCTATATGCATACAAAAGGTTCTTCTTGTCATATATAAGCACAAGCAAATTTGCGATAAATATATGGTTGTGTAACTTAATAGGTAAAGACAGCAAGCTTCTGTAGAAAATGGCCAACGGCAAAGACCTTTGTTTGTCAAGAAATTAGAACAAGAAATTAGCGTAATACTGTCTAACAATTTACACAGATTGTCCCATCTGCGTTGCTTTGTACAAGCAGTTATTTCTCGCCTTATCTACACATTTTAAGATCCCATATGTATTGTTACCTGTACAGATTTACTCCAGAGATTAATGGATCAATGTACTTCATGGCATGGTTTAAAGATTGTTTGAAATGGGTAAATAAATCATACAAAGAGTTCATCCTGTCTGACGATCATACTTTTGTGGTTTGAAAGCTGTATACTCGCAAAAAAGTTGGAATAACTCAATCGCTAATCTTACAAATATTTAATTTGGTCACACAAGAAAGACAATGAGACACGTGATTGTTAGATTTCCTGATAAAAAGAATCTAAATATAGTAAACCGATATCTGAGTATGTAATAGCCTTAATGGACCAGTTTTGAAAAAGCTGACCTACATATTGAACTGTGTGTAAATAGACACAGCAAACAGGGGTGACTCAACCGGTAACCCAGTGCTTTAAATCACATTAGAACTATTTCTTTTTAGAAGAAACAACATAACTTGGGTTGATTCTATTGAATGTTGTGTCGGAATAGCATCTATCATAAGAATATAGTTTATTGTGTATATAAACCTATTACTGAAACAAGATATTTCACCAAAAATATATAACGAACTTAATTAAGTTGTTGAGTAATACCTTTACAAGTCAATTATTGAATTAAATGCGAATATTTCAATACAAGTTATCAACAGGCCTATAAGCGCTGACTTGTGCACGGAATACTAGAAGTAACCAGTGTCATATCCTGGTTGCTGAAACTTTATTATCAATTCTCATCTGGTGCTAAAGATAAAACAGGTAACTTGATAGTGCAGAGGTGTTGATTTGAAGCGCATCGTTTCATACTTTATATAACCAAGTCAAAATAATTTCTTACATAGGACCAATATTAGGCCCCGACTCATCTCTTTCTTAATATAGCTTCACCTGTATTTAAATAAGTAATGTCTGAAAATATACAAAATGTGCAGATCAAGGGACTTCAAGCTCATGTTCTAAAACTAATGCCGATTTAAAGGATGATGCATACGGTAGCACCTGCAAGTCAGTGACCAGCTGGAAAAGTTATTATACAACGTTTTGGATCACTGATTATCACATGCATGCATTGTATACCTGTTCTTTTGTTCTTTGAAGCATAAGTAATTACAAATACATTACCTCCTTTCAAAATTATCTGCATTCAACTTACACATGATCACTTAAGATTAGGTTTATGTCATTTTCTTGTATCAGTTATCACAGACACATTATATTGATAATGAATAGTATTTATGACAATAAGCTAGCTTTTAAAATTACAAAGTGAATATATAATTTTGAAAATGAAACATTTCTGCTATGGAAAGTTGAAGTGTTTAAATATTTTAACGAATCGAAGTCACGCAAAATAGCAATCGTACGTACAATACTCAAATACACCAATAAGTGGTGTCTTCTGCAGGACACGTCATTTGTTGAATGTCACTTGTCCGCATCATGTATTATATACTCATCTCTGACATGAACAGGTGCATTAGTAAAATTTTCGGATTTATCAAACGTTTTAATAACTGGCAAGCACAACATTTAATATGATTATGGAAAAATATGTGAATACAAATTAAATAAGGGATCAGATTTTGTTGCTGGGTTCTGTTAGTCTCGAGAGACGATGGAAATGCGCCCAGGAAAGGTGTCCCAGTTTGTAGTTGTGCAGCGTCTTCTGTGGATATAAAGCCCCACACGGGAGTGGCAATCCTTGCTGCAGTTGCTACACTTGATGTTTGAGCCAGGTTCTGGTTGGAACTGCATCCTCTTCCTCTGAGATCTTTTCTCATCGCTGGCTTTCAGACCTGTGAACAGAGCATGTCGCCAGCTGAATTTGTCGAGGGCAAACTCTTCCCAGGTGTTGACCTCGATCCCGAGATCTTTCATATCCTGCTTGCAGACATCCTTGAAGCAAAGATGTGGCCGTCCGACTGATCTTCTGCCTGAGGAAAACTTAGAGTATAGAAGGTCTTTGGGGATCCGTCCATCATCCATTCGACTCACATGGCCCAGCCATCTGATGCGACGTTGGCGGAGTGTGACCATGCTGAAAATTTGGCCTGTTGAAGCACCCCGTTCTTTGTCACACAATCGCTCCAGGTGATCCCGAGTATGCGACGGAGACAACACATGTGAAAGGCACTCAGTCATTTCTCCTGAGAGGCATGCAGGCTCCAAGTTTCGCTGGCGTACAGGAGAGTGCTAAGCACGCAGGCACGGTATACGGAGATCTTAGTATTCAATGTTAGCTTGCTGTTGTTCCACACTCTTTGCGACAATCTAGAGAGAGTTGTTGACACCTTTCCAATCCGCTTGTTGAGCTCGGCATCGAGTGAGAGGTTGTTGGTGATGGTAGAGCCAAAGTAAGTGAACTCACTGACTACTTCTAGTTTGTAGTTGTTGATGATTATGCTAGGAGGGTCCGCGTCCTGAGCCATCACGTTGGTTTTCTTTAGGCTGATATTCAACCCGAATTCATCACATGCTTTAGCAAAGCGGTCCATCAGGCGTTGTAGTTCACCTTCTGTGTGAGTGACTATAGCAGCAGGATCTGCAAAAAGCATGTTCCTAATGGTTGCTTTCCTTACTTTGCTCATTGCCTTCAGTCGTGCCAGGTTGAACAGTCTGCCGTCTGAACGCGTGTGCAGGTAGATCCTTTCTGAGGACGCCCCAAAGGCGTACTTAAGCAGGACAGCGAAGAAGATGCCAAAGAGAGTGGGGGAAAGGACACAGCCTTGTTTCACTCCGCTGTGGATGTTGAATGGTTCGGACGATGAGCCATCCTACTGCACTGTGCCTTTCATGTCTTCATGGAAGGACTGGACCATGTATCCAATTTTCGTCAGGATTTTGAAGAGTCCGTCTCTTCTGACCAGATCGAATGCTTTGGTGAGGTCTACAAAAGCCAGGAAGAGTGGTCTGTGTTGTTCCTTGCACTTCTCCTGCAGTTGCCTGATGGAGAAGATCATGTCGATTGTGGACCTCTCTGCGCGGAACCCACATTGAGACTCTGGATACACTCTGTCAGCAAGCATATGCAGTCTGTTCAGAATAACTCTAGCGAGGACTTTACCCACGATGCTGAGAAGTGATATGCCCCTGTAGTTGTTGCAGTCACTTCTGTCGCCCTTGTTCTTAAACATAGTTATGATGATGGCGTCTCTCATGTCCTGAGGCACTGCACCTTCATCCCAGCACTGGCAGAGAAGATCATAAAGGTGTGTGAACAGCATACTTCCGCCACACTTGATGACTTCTGCTGAGATACCATCCTTTCCTTGTGCTTTACCTGTGGTCAGTTTCTCTAAAACCAACTTTAGTTCTGCCGCAGTAGGTATCTCATCCAGTTTGGTCAAACAAGGGAGGTTTTCAATGGCGTTGGTCACGTTGTTCTCTCTGGAATACAGTTCGGAGTAGTACTCCATCCAGCGCTCCATCTGTTTGCCCTTGTCGTGAATGATGTCGTCTGCAGAAGACTTCAGTGGAGTTATCAATTTCTTCTTTGGACCCATTGCTTTCTTTATGCCATTGTACATGCTTCTGATGTTTCCTTTGTCTACTGATGACTGGATGCTCTGACAGAGCGGAAGCCAGTATTCATTGGCACACTGCCGTGCTAACCTCTGCAATTTGCTTCTGGTAAACCTATAATGCATTAAGTGTCCTCTGGCAGGGTGAACGCTTGCATTCCAGGTGGGCACTGCGACGCTCTTCTATTACTGGCATGAGTGTGTCGGAA